GTGATATGTCAACGCTTTAGGTCCCGTCAAACGTTTCAACATTGGTCATCATAGGGGCAATGGCGTTCTTGTACTTATGAGTACTTTTGATTTTTCCATCTTTGTCATTTCGTTGGTAGGCCGTTGTACATTTTCACATACATTAATGTATATTTTATCTACATTATTGTACATTTTGCCGTTGTACATTTTCACAGACATTAATGTATATTTTATCTACATTATTGTACATTTTGTAGTGCAGTTATCATTTTGATATATTCATAAACTATTGAAAGCAATGACAATTATGTAATTTCGTTAAAACAAAATGGCATTTTTATTGCATTCAACACATAATTGTGTACAATTCACTTATTATTATGCGTTTATGAAACTTTTGATAAATCGCATATTTGCCCAAGAACTAAAGTGTAATATTTAAAATTTTGAAATTGTAGATAAGTCCTCACGACTTGTATTATTTTCAAGGAGAGGGCCCAAGCCCAAAAAATCATCTCCTCCATCTCCACCGGTCGGGGCCGCATAGGGAGATGTTCTCAGCCTCTGAAACCACCCCCACGCCTAGATGAAACTAGCACCACCACCACTGACAGTTACTCCGTCCTCACATCGTTGACGCTCAAAATCCTCATCCACTAGAACCTCCACTATCATAAACTATGAGGTAACTTATCAGCTATCTTAAAATATGAACCATCTTATCAGCTATCAACTTTTCAATAAGATCTAGGACTGCACTATTCACATGCATATAATCTATAAATTTTTCGTCAGTGTAAATGCAAAACAGACATGATAGAGAACAATATTACTCCATGCTGGGACCGAGACCAGCCTTCACCTTATTGATTAGCATAGCAGTATATTTGCCAAGCAAATGTTTGTTCAAATTGCAAAAAACGCATCATCCCTCAACTCCAAAGATTCAACATACTTCAAGATGCACAATCACAGTTTGGACCAAAATTCAATGACTAGTATATATGCAAGAACTTTCAAATCCTGAGCACGCAAAACAAGTGTAATCAATCAGTGAAAGCCCGAAAAAACCTGCACATCAAGTCAATTCCTACTCGTAATCCATGTCATCATCTCGTCCCCAGTGAAAGCCCAAAAAAGTATACATGGCAAGTTAATTCCTACTCGTAATCCACTTCATCGTCGTCTCCAAGCTCCACATCAGCATCATTAGACCCACCAAGTAACGACACGAAAACCAGAACGGCCACAAGTTGAGTTGCCAGAAAGTATTTGGCCCGTCTTCTAAACTTCTTTTCATCCTCCGTCTTCTCCCTTTTAGGTTTACTCTTAGGTTTTGATCCTATATTGTTCGATATTTCATAAATTGCAACACATGAACCAGAATCAGTCTTCATAGTGATTGATAATTAGAAGCTATACTTTGAACATCATTTACAGATAATGCATATTATTATTAAACGAAATATAGAAACAATTGTAAGGGACTTACTCCAGTACGAAGAGCTACGCCTTGAAGATGATGGAGGATCTGTCTTGGGGACTGATGAAGATGCTGAAGTTGCATTTAGGTATTCAGTGTTAAGATTCTCGGCATAACTAACGAGATTAGCATGACCCAAGAGTTTGCTTCTTAGAACCGATGTTTCCTATCAAGTGTTCATCAAAAGAGAAATGATGTTTCGGTTCCCGATAAATGCATTAAATATGCAACAAAATGATTGAATAATAATAATATGATTAATGGGTGTCCCAATCAAGATCTCAGGAAGTAGTAAATTGAATTTGGGTTGCAGTTTCAGACATCCCAGATGAAAAATAAATTTCATTGATAATCCCTAGGATAGATTAATTTCAGTTAATTATCTCATAGTTGTTAATCCCATATTCCCATCTTTCAGTATCTACTACTAATTAGCAGTTTTGGATTGTTATTTATTCATATTACCAAGTGTGCCCAGTGTCAACAAGTAATACTGCTGATTTGCCATACCAACCAACCAACCAACAGTCATCAACAGTTTCAGACTCCAATGATGTAAAAATAGCTCACAGTATTTCACCCAAGTTCGTCATTTATAGTTCATACTCCTGTATTTATAATCACAAAACAGCCAAAATGGTTTCAAATATTGTGGTAATGGAACGTGTTTTCAGATGGAATCTTTAGGCCGAATCTTATACCTTGGAGGGATCAGCAGCAGATTTTGAGGGTATAATTGAAAAATGTATCTCAAATAGATATTCCTCATATTGGCCTATTAAAAATACTCACAGGTAAAGCATGCAGGGTAAAGAGTGCATGCCCAAGAAAAGCTGCATCCAAACTCGTTGGCCTGCATTTATCAGATAGGCATCATGTTATACCAATCCAAAACATGAAAATATCTAAATAAATGGCAAAATTAAGGTCTATACAGCAAACTTAAACACCTGCTTTCAAAGAAAAATGACTGTTCCCCTAACAAAGATGATAGTGCACCATAAGCCTGGACTGCTTTGTCGTATATCTGCAAAAAACAACATAATAAGCTTTAATATATGTGAACACAAGGTATTGTGGACATGGATGCCACTTACGCATTTTGCATCATCAAGGCATGCAAATGCTGGGGATTAAAACAGGCTGCAGTTCAGCTAAATAAAATAGATTATAAGGTGTAGCCCTGATACAATTACCTAAACATCGGATATTTGATAGGACTGAACAAGCCCATTACAACAGAACTTTCCGACCAGACACACAGAGTGAGAAAAATAGCACTCCACATAATAATAAAAATATAATATTATTCTTAATGTCCATATTTATAATAATAAAAATAAGACCAACGCCAAAGAAACGTGAAAGAACGCCACCTCTTCTTGTCTTCTTTCTGCATTTTCTGACGTGATCCCAAGATATTGTTTCACAACACGAACTTGCTTATGGTACAGAAATTTCCCTATTGGCCAAGGGAGGTCAGAGTAATAGATCTTCTGAGCTGACTTATCCTCAGACCCCAACCAGAGCTCGTACATAGCTGCATCTGCAAGCCACGACTCAACCATCGCCCTTACAGACACCCATTCGGGTACACCGCTGACCCCAGAGTCCAAATCAATAATGCCATCTTCCTTCAATTTCTGAATGACTCCACCTTTCTCGTTATCATAGGCCACGTAATCCCCGGATTCAACAAAGGGTATCTGATCTGGTCGAATCAGAATGAATCTCCACCAAGTAAAATTTTAGATATCAAAATTAAACTACTATCTTAAGTAAGAGCTAAGACTATAATAAGAACTAATGAGAACACTATTAAAATTTAAATTCTTGATGACTAACAAAATATCATGTGTCATAACTAATATAAAACAAGGCTTGAGATTTATCAAAATATCCAAAAACTGATAAGGTCTGCATCCCAAACATCCTACTATAAAGTAATTCACTAACTAAGACCAATGAATTCCCCT